AGCTATTTCCAACAAGGCATGCATAATGGGTTTTCTGGGTCTTGTCGAGGACGCCTTTTCTTTCCCCAGCAAGCTTGAAACGTTTTGATAACCTGGGACACATTCATTTAAAGCCCTATGGTGGAACTTCAGCCATGGCTTCTCCCATGGAATTTTGAGAGCTGTTTTAGGGCAGACCAAAAAATAAATGGCTTCTTTATGTAGTGCATGGTTCAACCATGGAATTCTTTCCAACAAGATGTATTAATGGCCACTGACTTGGATGGCTTTACAAGAGATTAGACAAGTTCCTGGGGGATAATGGCTATCACTGACTAGTACCCACAATCACTTTCTTCTCCATCCACTGTTGGGAGTCAGTATTCCTCTGAATACAAGTAGCTGTTGTATCACAAAGTACGTTGTTGCATTCAGATCCTGTTTCTGGGCTTCCCATGGGTTTCTGGTTGGCTACTGGAGACTCTTGAGAGTCCCATGGACTGCAAGAAGATCAAACCTATCCATTCTGAAGGAAATCAGCCCTGTGTGCTCACTGGAAGGACAGATCCTGAAGCTGAGACTCCAATACTTAGGCCACCTCATAGAAGAGAAGACTCCCTGGAAAAGACCCTGATGTTGGGAAAGATGGAGGGCACAAGGAGAAGGGGACAACAGAGGACGAGATGGTTGGATAGTGTTCTCGAAGCTACCAGCATGAGTTTGACCAAACTGCTGGAGGCAGTGGAAGACAGAAGTGCCTGGCATGCTCTGGTCCATGGGGTCACGAAGAGTTGGACATGACTAAACGACTAAACAACAACAACAACAACAACAACAACAACAACAACTGTGAGAATAGGATGCTGCCTTAGATGGGCCTTTGGCCTGATCCAGCAGGGTTGCTTTTATGTTATTGTGGATGTCTTCTACCAGTAAAGTTCTCAGAATAATTATCCTCCCCATTGCTGCCATTTTTATGGCATTGAAAACACTCTGCTAACCGTAGCGATAGCCGTTTCAGCCCTGTAGAATCCTGCAACGAGGCTGAATAAATCTTCTTTGTTTCATAAGAGCGCTGTGCCCGACAGACAGCCATTCCAGGGAACACTGGTAATTAGGTTCATGTTTAATGTGTGGGCAAAGGAACCCTTTGGCTTCTGAGCTTAATTCCCTTTTATTATCTTTGTGTAATCTGAGTAGGTTCTAACTAGGAGTTCTCTAAGAATTGGGGTAGCTGGTTTTTACAGCTATAATTTAGGCATAGTTACACATACCTCTGACAGTTCACCACTTCCTGTTAACATATTCAGCCCATAAAATGCAGGGATGTTGGGATAATAAATTGTTCCTCAAAATGATTTTGGTTCTCTCCTTTTTGAGGTCTTAGTTTTGTTCCCCTCTTTTCATTCATTCATTCATTCATTCATTCATTCATTCATTGACCAAGCATGGAACAGCCCTTTATTATTGGAAGAATTAATTTTTCTTTTAACCACAATGATGTTAAATAGATCATTATTCATGGTCGATTCACTTTTTTGTTGAATCAGCTAAGTATTGCATACTTTATCACCAATATTCCTTTACCAGCTAACGGGGTCCTTGCTGCGGGATCATATTCACCCGGTGCTATACCAGCTGCACTGGCTCTCGGTGGAGTACAGGATCAGGTTCAAGGTGCTGGTTTTAACCTTTAAAGCCCTATACAGCGTAGGACCCTCGTACCTATAGTACTGCCTCTCCTGGTATGTCCCACGGAGGACCTTACAGTCTTCAAACAAAAACATCTTGAAGGTCCCGGGCCACAGGGGGGTTAGGCTGGCCTCAACCAGAGCCAGGGCTTTTCGGCCGTGGCCCCAATCTGGTGGAACACTCTGTCACAAGAGACTAGGGCCCTGCAGGACTTGACATCTTTCCGCAGGGCCTGCAAGACAGTGCTGTTGCACCAGGCCTTCGGCCAAGGCACAGTCTTACCCCCTCTCTCCTTCTGTAATCCTCATAGAACTCTAGCCCAATGGTTGCCATTAATTTGACTCTGAATTGATTTTAGAATAAATTGATTTTAGAATGTATTTCAATTAATTGATTGTGATTTTATATAAACTGTGTTACTTTTACTGTTGTTAGCCGCTCTGAGCCTGGCTTCAGCTGGGGAGGGCGTGATATAAATAAAATTTTATTATTATTATTATTTATACCAGTTGCTAGAAAACACAGGAGGGGAGAGTGCGCTTGTGCTCAGATCCTGCTTGCAGGTTTCCCACAGTCATCTGGTTGGCCACTGCGAGAACAGGATACTGGACTAGGTGGGCCATTGGCCTGATCCTGCAAGCTCTTCTTATGCTCTTATAACGAGGGGGAAGAGAAGGGGCATATAGGTAGAAGAGCACAAATGTGCAATGAAGTGCTCCTTGCATGAATTTAGTTTTCTCAACAGCCAGAACGGAGAGATCACTTTTTTGCCTGCTGGCTGCCTTGAAAGCAATTCTAACTCCTAGATCTGCAGGGTGCAAGAGATTAGGATGGGGCAGAGGTAGGACCAGCACAGATGCCACATCTAATACCTGCAGAAAACTCTTTGGCCACAGACCTGCTGCTGTTGCAATTAGTTAATTGTTATACAGTGGTAACTTGGTTTACAACCATAATCTGTTCCAGAGGTCCATTTGTAAACCAAAACAGGTTGTAACCCAAGGCGCGCTTTCGCCAATGGGGCCTCAAAAAAAAAAAAAAAATTGTTCGTAATCCAAAAATAAAAATATAAAATGGGTTGTAATCCAAAAAAAGTTTGCAAACCGGGACATGCACTTCCGGGTTTGACGTATTTGTAATCCAAAACGTATGCAAACCAGACTGCTTGTAAACCAAGGGACCACTGTATAGTGAGTTGCTATGTTGTATAGTGGTTGGATAGTGTTCTCGAAGCTACAAACATGAGCCTGACCAAACTGCGGGAGGTGGTGGAAGACAGGAGTGCCTGGCATGCTCTGGTCCATGGGGTCACGAAGAGTTGGACACAACTAAACGACTAAACATATGTTGTATATTTTTAGAAGTGTGCTGCGTTACGAATTTTATGTGTTATGTTACTTATGATAACAGGTTGGATCAGAGAAGGGATCTTTATTTATTGGGGTGTGAAGCATTGTTATTATTTATTTATTTAGAAAGACAAGGTATTGTTTAATGATACAATTAACGTCACTGGAATATTACTGTGGATATCTAAAATGCTTAGTTTTGTGTATGTTTGGATGCTCCAGTTATCTGGCTGAAAGAGTGCATGATAAATAAATGGGGGAGAAAAAGCCTAAATACATCCCTTAGGACCTATTTTAGTCCCAGAGCATCTGATTTAGATACTTCTTGAGATTGCTTCTTATCTAAGTGGAACCATGCTGCTATGTACACTCCTTTAAAAAAACACACCGAAAACCATTATCTGATCCTTGTGCATTTGAACTTGAGCTCCTGTGACAAAGGCACACTTGTTTGTGCATTCATGGAGTTTTAACGAGAAGCTGGTGTTTGGTAAGTGAGAGCACCTCATTTCCTATAATAAGGCACAGTAAAGTCACTTGTAATGCATATGTGATTGCACGGAGAAACTGAACACAGAGGGACCCACTTATGTCATCAGAAGCCAGGAAATTCAATTTAAAAAGGAAAACTGCTTAAACCTACAACAGCCTGAGCCAGATAACTGGAATGTGTGTGTGTGTGTTCAGCAGGGATGTAAAAAGGAATCTTTTCCTATTCCGTTCCATGTTTGTAACACACAGCAGCGTTTCCATTCCACTGCAGTTCATCTTCCACCCAAAACTACATTATTTGTCTCATTGTCCGCTGTGGTGAAATCTCATAACTTGTGCAATCTACACAATTATCTAAGTTATCTCACACCACCCCATTTATTTCAAAGGAAACAGAATGCAAAAGAGGAAAAGTGTAATTGCACATCATTTGCGGACGGAAAACAACAGCAATAGTGAATATCGATTGTATTCAGAACTTGATTTCCATTCCTCATATGGGACAAATAAGCAGAAGATGCAGCGCAGCAGAATGGAAATAGGAGCTGCATGGCATTTTGTACAAGGCAGATAGAAAATGATTCTTTCATAAAAGCCTAATTGGAGGCATCTGAAGTCACAGCAAAGTTTGTCTTATCAGATATGAGGCAGTGAAGATCTGAAAACAACTAACATTTTTGTGGCCAGCTCTAGCAATCCTGTCACCCATAAATTGAGTAGAATAATGCATTAAATGAAATGGGTGTTTCCTGTTCATAGAGTATAAGGAAGAATCGTTGAGATCCTGACTAGATGTTTTTGGCTAGAAATCTCTGTGGAAAAATGAGTAAGTGAAGTTGCTCAAACAGTACAATCTTATTCATGGTTAAAGGTAAAGGGACCCCTGACAGTTAAGTCCAGTCATGAACAACTCTGGGGTTGTGGCACTCATCTCCCTTTACTGGCCAAGGGAGCTGGTGTTTGTCCACAGACAGTTTTTCCAGGTGATGTGCCCAGCATGACTAAGCCACTTCTGGTGAAACCAGAGCAGCGCATGGAAATGCTGTTTACCTTCCCACCGGAGTGGTACCTATTTATCTACTTGCACTTTGACGTGCTTTCGAACTGCTAGGTTGGCAGGAGCTGGAACTGAGCAACGGAAGCTCACCCCGTCGCAGGGATTCAAACCACCGACCTTCCACTCAGCAAGCCCTAGGCTCAGTGGTTTAGACCACAGCGCCACCCACGTCATGGTTACCCTGTTGTAAGTGTGGTTGTGAGGGCAACAAACTGTATTGGGGGTCTCCATCACTAGTTAAGACTAGTGATGTGGAATGTATTTCTGCCTATCTGAAACCCAGAAGGAGAGGTGTGCATTCACTTTCACAATTAATGAAAAACAGAGCAGATGCCTAACCAATTTGTTTGTCAAAAATTAATGATATCAAAATGAATGGAAGAAACAAATGGAAATCTTTTATTTTTGTTTCTCCCATTCATTTCTCGTAGGAGGAGTTCCTGAAACAGACAAGAGGCATTGCATTGCTCAACAAATTGATGTGTACAGGGAACCTTCTGTAGGTAGGAGAGATCTGAATGCTCAAAAGACATGAAAACTGTCAAGTTGGGAAGCTTAGAAGATGTCACTCCTTTTTGATTGTTTATAAAATGGGGTCCTTGTCTCCAACCTGCCTGAAGCTTGGCACATCTTGTAATGCAATGCCTAAAAAACGTGTCCCATTTACATGGAAAAGACCAGAGTTATAGACATCAAATGATAGCCTTGGTATCCATAATATTAAAAGTAGGGCCCTTCCAGGCTGGTGTTTTATTGCATGAATATTCTGCAGCAGGTTCCTAACACAAAAATAGTGCATTAGCAAGTGGTTATATCCTGCCCTAGTTTGTTCTGTGATGCTATAGCTCTGTCAGTAGAGCATGAGACTCTTAATTTCAGGGCTGTGGGTTCGAGCCCCATGTTGAGTAAAAGATTCCTGAATTGCAGGGAGTTGGATCATGGTCCCTTCCAACTGCACAATTCTATGATTCCCTAACTACATTATTGCTGACTGAAGGACTATATAGCACAACAAACGTGGGACAAAAATAAGCCAGCACATTTGTGGTAGAAAAAGCTACAGGATTTCATCAGGAAGTTATGCTATATGCACCAACCAGAAACAAGCAGCATGATCACCCTGTTTTTGTTTTGCAGGTGCAAATATTATTGAAAACTGTTTGCACTTGCAAACAGATTCCCCAAAGCATCATGAACACAAAGGATGTCTGGGCAGGTCCACAGAAACGAAAAAGTAACAAAAAAGATATAGTAGGGGAAGAGAAATGAAAGTAATGATGCTGTAGACCAGTGGTGTCCAGCTGGTCGACCGCGATCAATAGGTATATCCCTGGATGATCATGGCCGATCACGGGATTAAAAGCAATGTTTCCACACACACCCTCACTCTGTCCCTATGTAGCGTCAAAAGGGCGGTCTTTTATAGTCTACTGCCAACATTAGTTGGCTTTATTGTTTTGTGCACTTGTTAGCGTTGTAGTTAATGGTTAGCGTTTCCTCCCTAAAACAAGCTCAACAACTCTGGCCTTTCTCCCCTAAAAAACCCCCAGGAACTCTGGGCAATCCTCCTCTTCCTTCCACCCACCCACTCCACGCACGTTCCTCCTCACTTCGATGATAATGGTTAGATCACTGCCAGCGTTTTAATACTGGGAGTAGATTTCAGTCTCTTGGGAGTTGGACGTGCCTGCTGTGACAATTGAAAATGAAATGAACAGGGCATTCAGGAATAAAATGAAAAACAGAACTCTCCCCTCGCAGCCCCTGTCTTGGAAAGCTGCTACCAGTTTAAGTGAATAATCTTGAGCTTGGTGGGCCAATGGCCTGTCTGACTTGGCCAGTTCCCTCTATTCCAGCAGTAAATGAAATTTTATACACACAATCAGGTACTGATGTCTATGACTGCTGTCTGAATGTATCAACGGATGAGATTACGGGTGCCCAGTAATTATTGGCAAGCTAAACTTCACAAACTGTTGTTCAAAGTACAGTGGTGCCTTAGGGTACAGACGCTTCAGGTAACAAACTCCGCTAACCCAGAAATAGTAGCTCGGGTTAAGAAATTTGCTTCAGGATGAGAACAGCCATGGCACGGCGGCAGTGGAGGGCCCCATTAGCTAAAGTGGTGCTTCAGGTTAAGAAAAGTTTCAGGTTTAGATCAGACCTCAGGAACGAATTACGTTCTTAACCCAAGGTACCACTGTAATATGTAATATAGCATGATTAATAGAATAAATGAGGGACGCGGGTGGCACTGTGGGCTAAACCAAAGAGCCTAGGGCTTGCCGATCAGAAGGTTGGCCATTCGAATCCCCGCGATGGGGTGAGCTCCCATTGCTCGGTCCCTGCTCCTTCCAACCTAGCAGTTTGAAAGCACGTCAAAGTGCAAGTAGATAAATAGGTACCGCTCTGGTGGGAAGGTAAACGGTGTTTCTGTGCGCTGCTCTGGTTCTCCAGAAGCGGCTTAGTCATGCTGGCCACATGACCCGGAAGCTGTACACTGGCTCCCTTGGTCAATAAAGCGAGATGAGTGCCGCAACCCCAGAGTTGGCCACGACTGGACCTAATGGTCAGGGGTCCCTTTACCTTTACCTTTAATAGAACAAATCAACCAGTTCAGTGGTGATCTAGAAATTATCTCTTTATTATGTGTGATATGTATCATTAGATTTATATGGAATACAATGGATGCGTTTTTCATTCGCTTTTGAACAGCTGCAGTCAAGATGCTCAACGTAGCTTTTCATTGTGTGTGGATACCTCAGTATTAGTAAAGCTTGTTTCAGAGTTGAATCATGTGGACTCCTCCCCCTGCAGGCTTGTTTATGAAGGCTCTTCTCCCACACATCCCCATAGTCAAGAAGCCGGGTTGAGGAAGTGGTTTAACTTAAAGCCAAAACTTGACACACTTGTTTGTCATTGTAGTGATGAACTCTTGCACGCAATGGCTATTGTTCTGTGAACATGGACGCATCCTGATGCCCGGTTTTAATTCTGCAGAGCTCGTGAGTTAAATGCAAAACTGTCACAGAAGTTGTGGGAAACTGCGTGGAAGTTCCATATGTTAAGATACTGGCAAAATGCAGTCCAGGGGCTGTCCTGCAATGACAAAAATGTATTTTATTAACTCATTCATCATCGTTGTTTTACTTGTATGTTGCCTTTCCACAAAAAAGCATCAGCTCAAACGGGTTTAAAACAAAGGAAATGGGGAAACAGCTAAAATTAGACGTAGCACAGTTTCATAATAATGTAATAGAACCATAGAATTTTAAGGTTGGAAGGGATCCAAAGGATCATTTAGACCAACTCCTTGCAATGAAGGAACCATCTAAAGAATCCCTGACAGATTACCATCCAACCTCTGTTTAAAAACCTCAGATGAAGGAGAGTCCGCCAGTTTCCTAGGTAGTCCCTTCCAGGCTTCCTCATTTGGCTCATGGGCCATTTTTCCGACGCCACACTCACCTGTCCGATGCCTGATGTCCTATACAGTGTCAAGTATGAAGCAGGTAAAACCTTGACTCAGTCAAAAGTGGTTTGTAGACACAGCCCACCAGCTGATAAGCAACACTGGCAACGCCCCGCTTTATAAGGCCCTGCAAACCAGCTGATTGTCAGGTCTTCCACAACACATTGCAGAGCGCTCTATAGCAGTGGATTGTGGCATGATGTGCAATGGGGTTTCCCAGCCACCTGATCACCTGGTCTTGTGGAGGTTACTGCAAAGGGCTTTCATTCGCCTGCATGATTTCATTTCATACCATGTGAGCAAAAAAGGGGTCACTTTACATCATTATATTAGGGACATGGGTGGCACTTTGGTCTAAATCACTGAGCCTAGGGCTTGCTGAATAGAAGGTCAGCGGTTCGAATCCCCGCGATGGGCTAAGCTCCCATTGCTCGGTCCCAGCTCCTGCCAACCTAGCAGCTTGAAAGCACATCAAAGTGCAAGTAGATAAGTAGGTACCACTCTGGCAGGAAGGTAAATGATGTTTCCATGTGCTGCTCTGGTTTCACCAGAAGCGGCTTAGTCATGCTGGCCACATGACCCAGAAAAACTGTCTGTGGACAAACATCAGCTCCCTTGGCCAGTAAAGCGAGATGAGCGCCGCAACCCCAGAGTCGTTTGCGACTGGACTTAACTGTCAGGGGTCCTTTACCTTTTACATCATTATGAGATCAGGTGACTGACAGGTGCCCAACGCTTCTTCCATATTTGGTCATGGGCATGGAGTGGGGGGAGATAATGACTTGGCCCACCATCCAGATCCAGTTCCACACCCCTGGTGTTAGCAAACAGACATGGTGCTTGCAGCCAGTGTTCAAAATCGGCCAGGTGCATTTTGCACCTAGCTATTGGCCACTTGTGACCAGGTGAAGATGCCTGGGCTCCAGGATGCTGCCTGACACCTGCACCATCTGGGGATTCTTGGATCTGGACTGTTTTCACACACTAATACCCCCTCCTGTAGAATTCTATCAGCTATATTTTATCTGCACAATCTGAATGAATTTCTGGAACCCACATGCTTATTCTGTGCAGCCTGAGCAGGAGCGGCGAACGATGTTATTGCTAATTGTTGCAGCTTGTCTTCACTTACCCCACAGTTGTGAAGAATATTCTGATGTTATGAATGGTCCATGACACCATTAAGAAAAAGAGGTAGGAATAGGCCAATATAGATGCGGACTGTCAAGTGACTTTTTAAGTTCTCAAAGTTCTTAACCTTAACATTCTCAATCTTGTCACCTGAACTAGCCGGATGTTAATCAGTCCCCATCATCTAAGACTTTAGAGCCATCTTGCCCCCAAATGGCAACTAGACATTCCATTTTGGCGACTATATCCTTGGTTTAAGGAGCCATTTGGCACCTACCTTATATATTTGAGTTTCTGACACTGCTTCCAGCACTTCTGTCTTTTTATATTCTTCTAAACGGCCTCGGTCTAGTATACCTGAAGGAGCGTCTCCACCTCCATCGTTCTGCCCGGACACTGAGGTCCAACTCCGAGGGCCTTCTGGCGGTTCCCTCACTGTGAGAAGCCAAGTTACAGGGAACTAGGCAGAGGGCCTTCTCGGTAGTGGCACCCGCCCTGTGGAACACCCTCCCACCAGATGTCAAAGAGAAAAATAACTACCAAACTTTTAGAAAACATCTGAAGGCAGCCCTGTTTAAGGAAGCTTTTAATGTTTAATAGGTTATAGTATTTTAGTGTGTTTTTTGCAAGCCGCCCAGAGTGGCTGAGGAAACCCAGCCAGATGGGCAGGGTATAAATAATAAATTATTATTATTATTATTATTTGACTTCCAACTATGTGTGTGTTTTTCCCTTCCTCCTTTGTTTTCACGTGAGTGCCACTTCCTTCCTCCCATCCTCCCCATATTTCTCACTCCTGCCTGGCTCCCCGTCAATATCCTTCATCTCCCCCGATGCATCTGTTGTACATGCCTGGCGCTTTTCCAAATTTGCCTGACATTTTGGCATTTGCCAGCTCTA